TCTGACAGGGTCCGACACTACTAGTCGACTACTACTGGGGCTGAAGCTGTGGCGGCTTACCGTGGCCCCCAATGGCTGCACGATCCGAATCCACTGCTCCGCCATGCCTCAGCCTCGTCAGGTCCAGTTGGGCACATCTCACGTCATCGATGCTGATTTCTTTGTGGAATTGTTTGTATGGTGCTGCTCGATTGGAGTGGCTGGAGGTCAGGAACGATGGGGAATCGATTTGAAGTGGTGACTGATGAGATAGTCTGGGAAGTACGCTGTTGGACATGGTGGGTCCCAACGCAACAATTAGCAAACAGACTAATTTGCTGGGTTGAGGAGGTTGCAGATAGACAGTTGGTAACAGTTGGTCAGACTGGACAGGTGGATGTTGTCCTGTCAATCCGGGAACCTGCATGAGAAAGCATCTCGGTAACAATCTGCTGTTTATTATGTTCACTGCACATAGAGCAAACAGTTAGTACTCCATACATCAACCAGCTTCTATGGCTCAGTTGGTAGAGCGCATGACTAGTAATCATGAGGTCCGCGGTTCGAATCCGCGTGGAAGCATTTTTTGTTTTTCCTTTTTCTACCTTATCCCCTTGAGGAATCATCCTCTGCACATCGCTTTTTAAAAAAACATCATTAAACGAGCTTTCAATGGCTACTACCCTGTTATGGACATCTTCGGATCCTTGGTTTAGTGTATGCGCTAGAACAAGGGTATCAGAAAGGTTACCTGTACCCTATAAACCCAATCCGATGCTTTTTTTTAAACCCCTGGGAAGCATATGACAATGCAAGTATGCTGTCATTGTGCATCTTTGAATCCTGATTATCAACTATAGTACTATAGTTTCAAAGAGACCGTCGGTCGCCTTGAGCGAGAAGTTGTGCTACTACTTACTAGTAAGTACCTAGGCACAGAATTTCTTGTGCCATCTGGTGTTGTGTCGGTAATATATAACTTCATTTGTTCACCCTGACTTTGCCGCAACGTTCAGATGGACCATCAAAGTTCAATGAATGTTCAACCTCCACTTTAGTCACCAAATTCCTACTTGACACACCGACTTAGCTTGACTACTCACTATAACTAGCCGTGACATTGAGTACCCCTCCCGTCGAGGCCAAATAGGCATATGCGACCGTAAAGAGTACATGGCAAGTTTCACGAAGCACGGTCCAAGTTGAACCCGACCGTACCAGACGGCCTGCGGTGTACACATAAAACTTCCAAGCAGTCAGCCAGTAGCTGCATCTTACTCCATTAGTTTCCCATATACAAGATTGCATTCCAATGAATTGTTGTCAATTGGTTGGTCGCACTATACACCGAACTGGAATAAACTCAAGCCTTAATATCCCCCAAAGTGCCTATGCACACAAAGAACACAGCGAAAATTCAATATGTATCATTGCTATTATCATTATTTACATTCGCCGCATGACTGTACAAGACTATTAACTAGGTGGTTATCACCATCAAACATGAATATCAATCATCACTAAAGTATCCCGGTCCGAACATCTAGTCCATCGCATCACCCTCCTGGCAGGCAATAGGGCTAGAGCGGTAGTTCAGCTCCGCCGTGGTGTTGTAGTTCCACCAGAAGCTCAGGTACTGCGGGTAGGACGCGGACACGTTGCAGGTGGTCGTGTAGTCGGGCAGATTCTTGTTCAGGATAGAGGTGTAGTTAGCCAGAGGGCAGGAGTAGCCCGGTCCGGAGGTACAGTCGTTGAAGGGGAGCACAGCCTCGTTCAGCACCAGACGCACGTAGGTACCCTCGTCCGAGAGGGCGGTGGCCTGGCAGCTGAGACGCTCGATGGTCAGATGGCCACCCATGGGCACGATGTTGCCAATTGAGTAGGGGTTGCCGAAGGCGACGCGGTCAAGAGGCAGGTCCTCGTTGGGGATGAGGACGCCGAGGGCGGCGAGGATGGGGGTGATGTTGGTGTCATGGGCACTAATATATGTTAGTGAAGAGTTTCTTTCTGTGAGACTTTAATTCTGCTGAGAACGTACAAGTTGAAGAATAAGGAGCCGGCTTCCTTGGGTCCTTGGTTCAGGAGGGTGAGACTGGCGTTAGCGTAGACGGCACCCACAGCGGCCATGTTCTTGTCACCGGGACTGTCGACTGTTAGTTGCTGATCCGAAACAATAATCGATCAAACGGTCAACTCACCCAGCGCAGTAGTAGTAGTTCAGATCCTCAACGTAGCCGAAGCTGACCCATTCGTCCTGGGTAAAGGCGTTGATCCAGTTGGAGAAAGGACGAGCATTGAGCTCAAAGGAGGCCATAACTAGGATGCTGTCAGCTGGATGTTTGAGCCAATGATTGTACCGTAATCACATACTCATCAGGTTGTAGACATCAGATGCGGTGAGGTTCATGCCGGGGTTCTGGGAGTTCAGGCGGGCAGCAGCGACCTTGAACTGGGGCAGCTGGTAGGTCAGGTTGTCGCAGGTGGTCTGGTCGTTGTCGGTGTCACAGGTGGGCGTGAGGCTGTCAGCGCCCATGACCTCGGACTCGGAGATGATGTTGAGGGCAGCGTTGGTGGAGTAGTTGTAGCCAAAGAAACCCTCACCGAACTTGCGGGCCGTCTCGATGACACGTCCGTAGCCACTAGAGAAGAAGGGCACGACCGTCTCGCCGTTCCAGAGGTGACCGTAGCGGGCCTTGTAATCGTTGCCATGGTTGTAGGCGTCCAGCAGACCGGCGTAGGGACCGCTGGTGGTCTCGGCGTTGTAGTAGCACTCGTTGGGGACGTAGTAGGTCCAGTCGTTTAGGAAGGCCAGATCGCCCTTGTATTCGGTAGTGTTGATGCTGTAGACCTTGGCCAGGGCCTCTTCGATGTCCTTGCCGGCTGAAGGGGAGGGGTATCGCTCGCCGTGACGCTTGACCATGATGACCTGATCGACCTCGCAGCCGGTCGGGGGATCGCGAGCGATACCGTAGGACACACGCTCGGAGTAGGGTCCGTTACCACCGTAGTGCTTCAGGATGCTGTAGCCATCGCGAAACTCCTGAGAGAACTGCTTCTCCTGGGTAGACTGAGGAATGGCAGCGCCGTAGGAGAAAGCGGATGCGCTCGTGGCCAAGGCACAGGCCAGGGTGAGGAGAGATGTGCGAGGCATTGCTAAAGTACGACTGACAGAAGCTGGAGAAGGTGCCCTCGAGAGGATTGGAGATGACGAGCGGGGTACATTTTGACCGAGAGGGGTTTGGAGAACCCTTTATACCCGGCGATCGGAGATTGCGGTCCAGCATACATCTGTGAGCTGGTCGCCTCATGCGAGCCAGGAGACGGCTCAAGATGAGCGAGCTAGAAAGTAGTGGACGCGAGGATGGAGGGATGTCTACCAGTTACAGACTCACAAAGGAGCCCACGTGCTCAGCATCCCAAAGCGAGAAGCCCTCCAGCTTGACGTAACAGGGCTGAATTCCACAGCTCAGTGGGACTCACGGGATTCGAATCATACCCTGGAATCAAGAGGCGTGGTATCGGCCAAATCTCCCATTGGCAGGAGGGACGGGCGGGACAGACACAGGCACAGACTGCCGTTGGTCAATGGCAGCAGCTTAATCGACTAGTGTAGTCTACTAGTAAGTAAGTAGTTATGCACCCGGCAAGCGCTTATCTCCGGGGTCGCTGCCGCTGTCTTCCCACTCCTTCTAGTATCCCTCGTATCTCCGCTGCCTCGTACTGACGACGGAATCACCAATGTAGAGCCATTTCCAGAGCACACGTGGATAAGCAGCAGTTTGGATGAGCCAGGCATTGACAGGCGAAAATGTCCCTCACGGATGCACTACTCCGGCGAGGGTAAACAACGGCTCGGGGCTGCCCGCCTCGGCAACCCACGCCGAGCGCAAGCTTCCTTGGCCAAAGCTTGGACCTGCCAGCCAAGGTGCCACTCCGTCGGCCACGCGGTTCTGCCACGCTCTGTCACTCGCTTTCCAATGGGTTGGGACGTCTGGAAGGAGCGGAAGCCCATAGAGATGATCACACTCCGCGATCGGAATCGATCTAGTGACATGCGGCAATTTGTTGCTGTAGTATGCAGCGCCAGCTTTCCAGAACAGCTGGTGTATCCTTCAGACCCACTGAGCCAGTCTGAGTCGGGCCTGCATGCACGTGCGAGTTACTGGATGTTGTACCGGGGCGAGGAGATCCGGTTTTTCGCATAGCAAATTACATCCTGAGTCATGCCAGTTCGGGTGTAACCGTGGCGGTTTTGGAATCGACTATGCACACACCATGTGACGGATTCAATACCTAGATCCTCAAAGACGTTTGGCTAGGTTGGAAAGGTACCCTGGAGCTATTGCTGCACTCTTCTTGGACCCTAATCTTGTACATGGGGCGAATTGTTGCTCTAATTCGCCGCAAAAGCAACACGCAGTACTGAATGGCAGCCCACCATAGCTCAAGCTAGGTAGCCGAGTTTCCGAGAGTAAGTACGCTGCATAAAATAGAAGAAAGGGGTAAATAGTCGCTTCTATGACGGAGAGGAGAAATCGTTTGTGGCAGTCAAAGGCCCGCTTTCACATGGTTGACACATGGCTATATTGTGAACCTTGTCGTCTCCCTGAGGCTTTGATTAGTGCAAGGCTTCCTAGTTCTATCTGGCTGAACATCTCGTCAATCAGTTTGATCAAATCCTCAAAATAAGACGCGAGCAATAAATTGAAAGAACCATGGAGCAATAATCTCTAAAAATCGTATTGGTGTTCTACACTTGGGTCCAAGGCTTCAGGAATACAGCAACAAAGCTGACACTTCACTCAAACCATCCAGAAGTGACTAATGCCACTAGCCTCAGCTATTTCACTGGAGTGGAGTCCAACTTAAGTCCTTCCTTCATCAGCGCCTCGACTCCGTCTTTTTCTCGCGTGATCGGCGAACGGCCTGTCATTGTTGTGGTACGCGTAGCAATGCCACATAATAACGGTACTGGCACATGGTTAGATATTTCTCTCATCACATTCGTTTTATCCAAGAACCTACCCCCAACATACGGACATACACCCAATCCAGTAGAACACTAGCCCCGCTACTGTCCGGCCATCTTTTCGGTAGGCCAAAGAGATCCAGCCCAAGGTGCTTCGGATGATTTCTTGTTCATCTGCTGACACACCGTGTATCTGAACTTCCTGCGTCGCCACAGTGATAGTAACCACTACACATGCTGCCAGTTGCAACAGACTCACCGCAGCAGAACCGAGTTTCCATGTCCACTGAATGCAAAGGTTCTCTTTCCGTTCTGGCCAGAACCAGTCGCATATCATGAGGAGGCAAAAAAAGACATTTAGAAAGGTGCAGGCGCACATTCCGAAAGCGAGGCTGCTAAGTAGATTGTTGGTGTCAATACGAGCATCAAGAGACTCCGGTATAGTTTTGTCCTGTAGGTCATCATAGCCTAGTCAAGTGTCAGTATAGATGGACAAGGTGAGAAAGGGAAGCGTACGGTCTTTAGAAGAGATCATCAGGAATTGTCCAATGATGTTGATGCCATGAGCTAGATTGACCAGAGACCTGGTTCGCCTGAAGTAACAGATCTTGTTGTATGTGCAGGAACTGCTGAGTTTGACCCACTGGACCTCCCGCTGGGAGATGCTGCCTTTAAGAGGAGCCATGATAGAGTATGGTTTTCCGACACTAATGCTAACTGCGCTGATGCGGAAGTGGGCCCAAGATCCAAGATATAGACAATGACTAGTAGTGAATGATCCATGATGCTGTGATGACTTTGAGTGAATGTCCACGGTGTGAATAATCTTGATGTCTAAATGACGGTTATCAAATGAAGAGTGTCTATGTGTGAAAATCCCCATGCCCGGTCCTGGACTTCCAGGGGCAGCTTCCGCCTCTGGAGCCGGTGCTTAAGCTCATCCAGCTGGTACGAAGCTTTAGGGAAGGCGGCAACATTCTGTCTGCCGATATTTCCTGGATCCGACTCATGTTTCTTCTCCAAGCAAACCATTGCAGTTGATGCGGAACCGTTAATGCGACATGGAGTTTTCATCATGCAAGGGACGGCACCCTTTCAACAAGCAGCCCCAAATGTACGTCATGGCTCCCCATGAATAGAACAGGTACTGAATACTGAATGAGTTTGAGCTGAGATCTGACTTTGAGCAAAGGCATCGTCCGTTGAGCTGCACATGACATTCTATGACCAGTTGCCATAGCTTTTTTGTCCGGTTTTATTTGAACATGCATAAAAGCTCGGCTAATACAAGACAGAAACCAGCAACCTGTATGACAAGATGCGTTGCCCAGACGCATGCAATGCTCATTGTGTTAGAACAAGTATTCCCTCTGCGACCCGGCAGTGGTCACATTGAACTCCATCAACTTATCGATCGATTCGATCGATTGAATCGGCAATGGTCGACGAGGTCAGATGTCAGAATGGGGAGAAGAAGACGAGAGTTCAAATGACAGCCGGAATGTTGCTTAGTTTCACGGGATACCGCAACTGACCTCCATAGCGCGGGACATTCGCTGGTATACACAGTACGCTCTGTGGTTGCATGTGGGAGAGGACGATCGGTGCAACTGGCGGCGGGACCGGTGGTGGCAGTTGTTCCAGCCCCACGGAGTGAGTAGTAGTAGATAGATACTAGTGAAGAGTAGTGAAGTACCTATGCAGAGACAAACCAAGGAAAGGTTAGCAGTGTACGAGACAATCTAACGGCTGACTGCCTGAGGCAATCAGTAGTCTCAACATGCTCTTACCTCTTTCGGGTAAAACGAGGAAGTTGCCTCGCAATCGGGATGCCAGCTGGAAAGGCCGAGACTGAGGTTAGCGCGGGACCCGCGCTAACCCGAATGTCGGTCGGGGCAATTCCCCATCGGGCAGTCGTCGGATCTCTGGACGGCAACAGGAAGTACCATGTCCAACATCCTTGCCGACCAGAAACACCACGGTCCGTGACCGAGGACTAGGGAGATATGCTGTTAAACATGATTCCGATCACTCAAAATTGCATTTGGATAAGGTAGTAGAGAGGTATAAAGTCACCGGGAGAAGTCCATGGTCACATAGTCAAGCATCCAAACCCTTCCGACCAAGTCCCTTGAACTTCTCCCCCCAACCCCCCCCAAATTCCCACATCACAATGACCTCCTACCCTCCCAGAAAGTGCTGCTTTCAGGGCGTCAAGCATGATGGCGACGCGACTGGCGACTTCATCACCATTGATGACTTTGAAGTCTACAAGAAGGCTCCTGAGGGTGCCGCTCCCGAGAAAGCAATCATCCTGTCTGCCCCCTCCTCACTGCAATGGTTGCAACTGAATAGGTTGAACTGACCGAAATAGACTGACTGATATCCTGGGCCACCGGTTCAAGAATGCCCAGCTGATCGCTGACCAGTTCGCCGCCAATGGCTACTTGGTACTCATTCCCGATCTCTTCTATGGTGATCCCATCCCCATTGGTGGCGCCGCGGGCCTGGACCTCCACAAATGGCTGGTGGGCGAATACCACGAGAAGAAGATCGCACACACTCCCCCCGTCATTGACCCCATCATGGAAAAGTGCATTGCTGAACTGCGCACCAAGTACAACATCAAGGTAGGCCTATCCTGGCCGCTGCCAATGGCTTGCCGGACGAACAGTGGCTAATCATATAACAGAAAATCGGTGCCATCGGATACTGCTTTGGCGCCAAGTATGTTGTTCGGTTTCTGAAGCCCGACCAAGGCAAGGTGGATGTCGGTTTCCTGGCGCACCCTAGTCTGGTGGAGAAGGAGGAATTGGAGGCCATCAAGGGTCCTCTGGCCATTGCGGCGGCCGAGAAGGACCACGTCTTCCCCGCCGAGAAGCGACACGAGTCGGAGCAGATCTTGGAAACGCTGGCGTTGCCCTATGCCCAGACTCTCTATGGCGGTGTCGGACATGGGTGAGTGATTTTTGAAACCCAATGGACTGCGCATTAGACTAATCATGTCATAGATTCGCTTTGCGGGGAGACCTCAGCGACCCCAAGGTGCTGTTCGCCAAGGAAAATGCCTTCATCCAGGCTGTGCAGTGGTTTGATGAGCACTTGAAGGTGTGAGAGGGCAAGTGCGCGACGCAGAGGGTGGGGGATTGAGTAGTTAAATAGATGGGAGCAGTAGACTAGTAATGGCTGATGACCACGCTATAAATATGATGATGATTGCTAGGATGTGCATGCATTAGTCCCCACTTGTTTTCCTCTTATCCCGAGCTTCGTTCCCCGACAGGGTTATGTAGCATGACCTTCACTGCTAGGATTCTCAACCACGTTAGAGTAAATGATCCTCTGTCCCGAGTAACATTTATGTATCATTCGAGTAACAAAATGTGAGATTTACCGTCAGGTAATGACCTGCCCGTAGCATCATCGTATTCATCAAGCCCTAGGAGGGGAAAAGAAGGATTGAAGTCGCAGAAGTGTATACCCTTTTACCCTTCATACTAGAGATTATGAAATTAAAGGGGAAAGTGTGTCTTTCACCAGAGGAACCGAACTGAGTAATGAGCAAGCGTGACTTGTGCGTGAGTATAGAAAAACTGTTGGACAGACACACAGACTACTATGTAGTATTAGACAATAAGGTAGTACTAAGTAGAGTGGAGAGAGAAATGATCCGCTGTGGGTACTTTTTCCTTCTTTCTTTCCTTTGGCAGTTGACAGGCAGGTTTCGGGACCAGCCGACGGGCAGTAGTGGTAGGCCGATAAGCAGTCGGGCGCAATAAGATCCATCCCGCCCCCCGGGTGCCTTAGGACACGAAAAAGGATCAGAGAGGGATGAGTGAGAGAATTACTACCGTAGTAGTAAGTAGTAATCTAGAATGTGCTCAATAATACGAAACCCACCACCACTACTACCACTACCACCACTGGTCGCGGCTCCTTCCAATTTCCACCCCCCCCCCCAGTCACCACGTGATCCTTCAAGGTGCTGTTTGGTGGTGCGTCATTGGCGAGAACCTCGCGATCGGGCGGCATTCTGTCTGGAACCTGGAACTTTCACCTCACTTACTACTACTAACTACTACTCATCTCATCTTCCATCCCACATTGTCACGTTTCCTATCTTTTTCTCCTCCTCCCCCTCCTTCCCCTCCTTCTTCTTCCTCTTCCCCACAATTCAACTTGTTATGGTCGCATGTTAATTTCCATTTCCCTTCCATTCCATTAGATCCTCGCCTCCCAATGACTGCATCGCAGTCAGGTACATTCCGCATCCCTCTCTCATCATGTTCCGCCATTTTCAGATGCCCCCACCCCCGAATGGGAATGCCTCCCAGTCCGATGCCACTGGGAGACCCAAGGATCGTACTCGCCGGGCATGCGAGCGCTGTCGCCAGATGAAAATCAAGTGTGACGGCGTCTCTACCTGCAATCACTGTCGCACCTCCTTCAATGGTGCGAGGCCCTTTTTTGTTGTCGCGATAAGATCACAGACGGTAGGCTGGGGACAAGCTAACGGGTACAGAATGTGTGTATCCGGAGCCACGTCGCAAACGCAAAGCTTCCCCCCATTTCGATCGTCTGCAGGAGTTGGAGAAGAGGGTCAAGGCGATGGAGGAGTCCTATCAAACCATTTCTGCCCCCAAAGATTCCTCCCAGTCCCCCAGCTCGGCGACGCAACACCATCCCCCGTCAACAACCGGCGCCAATGATGTCGGTCACGACCCGACACATTCCCAGCCGCAGGCCCAGTCAAGCCAAGGAGAAGCTCGCTTCGGATTCTCATCCGCCGACCGTGCTTTTATTGAGCGCCTCAAGGCGGAGCTGGGCGACTGGCCCGGCGCGGACTTCGACAGCCGGCTACGTATACGAGAGAAACCCGGGGTGAAATTGTTTCAGTCAGCCAACCCGGCACCGCGGGTCGTCTGCTTACCACCCCGTGAGCGAGCGGAGCACCTAATCAACATAGCGCTGGATGCAAGCGTCCTCTATCATGTCGTGCACCGACCTACCTTTGACTCGGCGTTCGAACTCCTCTACAGCCTGGATCGGAGCGACTATGGGGAAGGGGAAATGCGCCATATCCCGCTTGTTTACGCTCTCATGGCGTTGGGCTGCCTTTTTGAGAAGATCGGCGAGGGCCCATCTGAAAGCGGGGACGACACGACCGCGGAAAGGTATGTCTTCATTCTGGTGTGTCGTTCAAACTAGATTCAAGCTAACGCAGGCAGAACGAAATATTTCTCGACATGCCGTGATCTTGTTGATCTGCACGACTGCAATGATATCGTTACCTTACAAGCAATCTTCTACATGAACCTATTCATCTTGAGCACAGAGAGGCTATCACCGTGCTATACATGCCTGTCACATGCATTCTCTCTCGCCGTTCGCATGAATCTCCAGCTGCCGAATACGAGGGACAATCTAATTGTCGCAGAGATCAAGCGGCGACTTTTTTGGTCTTTGCGACAATTACTGATGGTCGTAGCCTCGATGTGCGGCTATCCGCGGCCGATCAACAGCAACGAAGTCGACATCGAACAGCCGCTAGATCTGGACGATAACGACCTTAAGTCGACCAGGATATCACAAGCCTTACAAGACCCGGCACTGATTCGGAGTATGTCCGGTTCTGTCGCGTTGTTGAAACTCCACAATATTCTGGATCGAATCGTTCGCGAGCTT